TTTGTGTTTTTTTACTTGTATTAGGATTTGTGTTTTTTTGCAATATCGTTGTGTATTAGTAGTAGTAGTAGAACGACTAACTAGTACAACTACTCTAACTACTTTGCTGCAATACTTTCTTATTGTATTTTATTTTTAAATTTTTTTGCTATGACTCGATGTTTATTATTGCCTATTGAGGGTTGTAATACCTTCAAATGATGGAGGAAAGACCAGCTTATTGAAATTTGGGAGGCTTGTAAAGCAACAATTCAAACAGGTACAAATTTAGTATTAGGTGAGCTTGTAACGGTAGTAGATTTTTGCTTGAGTATTTATATGCTATTGCCGATTGCTATGACTCAATGTGTGCAATTGCTTATTGTGTGTAGGACCTTAAGTTGGTGAAGGGAAGACCAACCAATTGAAATTTAGGAGGTTCATCAAGTAGAAATCCAAGGAGTATGCGTGTTACCTTCAAATGATGGAGGAAAGACTAGCTTATTGAAATTTGGGAGGCTCGTAAAGCAAAAATTCAAATAGGTACAAATTTAGCATTAGGTGAGCTTGTAACAGTAGTAGATTTTTGCTTGAGTATTTATATGCTATTGCCGATTGCTATGACTCAATGTGTGCAATCGCTTATTGTGTGTAGGACCTTAAGCTGGTGAAGGGAAGACCAACCCATTGAAATTTAGGAGGTTCATCAAGTAGAAATCCAAGGAGTATGCGTGTTACCTTCAAATGATGGAGAAAAGACCAGCTTATTGAAATTTGGGAGGCTCGTAAAATAACAATTCAAACAGGTACAGATTTACCATTAGGTGAGCTTGTAACGGTAGTAGATTTTGCTTGAGTATTTATATGCTATTGCCGATTGCTATGACTCAATGTGTGCAATCGTTTATTGTGTGTAGGACTTTAAGTTGGTGGAGGGAAGACCAACCCATTGAAATTTAGGAGGTTCATCAAGTAGAAATCCAAGGAGTATGCGTGTTACCTTCAAATGATGGAGGAAAGACCAGCTTATTGAAATTTGGGAGGCTCGTAAAACAACAGTTCAAATAGGTACAGATTTACCATTAGGTGAGCTTGTAACGGTAGTAGATTTTTGCTTGAGTATTTATATGCTATTGCCGATTGCTATGACTCAATGTGTGCAATCGTTTATTGTTTGTAGGACCTTAAGATGGTTGAGGGAAGACCAACCCATTGAAATTTAGGAGGTTCATCAAGTAGCAATCCAAGGAGTATGTGTGTTAAAACAATGTATGTTTTGGTGTATTTGTATTTTTTCGTGTTCGTGTGTATTCGTTTGTGTATTTTTAGGTGTACTAGTATTTGTTTTTTTGTGTATAGGAACGACTAGCCTACTATCACTACTCTGTTGCCATACTTGTTTACAGTATTTTATTTCTTATATTTTTTTGTTATGACTCGATGTTTTATATTGCATATTAAGTGTTGTAGTACCTTAAAATGAGTGAGGAAATGCCAACTTATTGAAATTTGGGAGGCTTATAAAGTAGCAATCTAAGCAGTTACAGATTTAACATTAGGTGAGTTTGTAACGATTATAGATTTTTGTTTGGGTATCTATATTTGTTTGAGTATTTATATGCTATTGTTATGACTCAATATGTGCTATTATTTGTTGTGTGTAGTACCTTAAGATGGTGGAGGGAAGACCAACCCATTGAAATTGGGATGCTCGTCAACAACAATCTAAAGAGTTGCAGATTTACCTTCTGGATTTTTTTTGAGTATTGTACGGTATTGATTTTGTGGTATGACTCTTTAAGCGTTTTCTTTTCTTCTTTTTTTGTAAAATACTTAATTATTGTTTCCGATCTCAATCATTTGCTTAAGATTCTTGCAGTTTTTGAACTATACAGATACTAATGTTGAAGCTTGAAGATCCTACACCGTGTTGGCTCTAGCTACGCGATTTTTGTCAATGGTAATCTAGGTTCAAGTGACACAATTGTACATCTACTTTGAAGAGTATACATGTTCGTTTCTTGCATTTCTAGATGACTATTCCTTTTGGATATTTTTGAGTAGATGCTCTAACTTTCTTTTTTAAATATTAATGATGTATTTTCTTAATAATTGTTTTAGCGATTGAAAGTTTTCATTGCTAGTAGAAAACTTTGATTTCATTGTTGTATTCTAGATGAATCTTTAAATTTGCATGTTTTGAAAAAAATATACAGACTAATATATCAAAACAAACACTAATATACCAAAAACACAAACATTCTAATACACCAAAACACATACACTCGAAGAAAATAAACCACAGATGCAATGCTTACACACATTGTTAACAAACATACTAATACGTTAAAGTATACATACACACATGTACAAATACAAATACATAAAAAATGCACATACTAATACTCAAAAATACATACAATGGTAATACACACACTCAACACAGCATCAGTGCTCGGCACATCACTGGCACGTCCCAAGAAACCTTAATGTGCAATATGTGAGTGTTACTTTGATTAGTGATCATTGCGTAAAATTTAATACTCTTTAATTTTGAACAATGATTCGTTTGTGTGTATTTTGTATATTAGTGTGTTTGTGTTTTCTTTGGTGTGTCAATGTATGAGTGTGTTTGTTCTGGTATTAGTGTGCGTGAATAGTGTGTTTTTTGGTGTATGTTTTAGTTTGTGTTTCTATAATAGTGTATTTTATTTTGTTTATTTGTTTGTTTTATTAGTGTGTGTGTTTTTGCGGAACATTTGTGTGTGTTAACATGTTGTGTGGGTGTACATCTATATACTGATTAGTGTGTTTGTGTGTGCACGTTTTGATGTATTATTGTGTTTGCATTTGTGTTTGTTTAATTGTGTGTTTTGGTATATCAGAGTTTGTATTTTTGGTGGATTAGTGTTTGCATTTTGGTGGATTAACTGATGTTAACACTACATGTGAATGGCGTGTTTGTATTTTGGTGAATTAACAAGTCAGAAAATCTGAGGTCCTCTAGTTCAGCATCCTGACAACATTCGTCAAGATGTTCTATCATAGAATTCCATTCTAAATTCCCACCCCTTATCTCCTTTAATGTGTGTTTGTGTATGTGTTTCAGTATATTAATATGTTTATTTTGTGGTGTATTAGTAATGTGTGGGAGGGTGTATTAGTGTGTAATAGTGTGTGGGTGTATATTTTTTTGATGTATTATGTTTTTTTTTTTTGGTATATTAGTGTTTGTTAACACGGTGTGTGACTGTGTATATATTTTGGTATATTAGAGTGTGTGGTGTGTGTATTTTTTTCATTTATTAACTTGTGCGTTAACATTGCGATTATGTGTGTTTTAGTGATGGCATGCACATGCACATGTGTGAGTGTGTTTGTGTACTAATTTGTTTTTGTGTGTGCATATTTTTGATTTGCTAGTGTGCGTGTTAACACAATGTGTATTTTGGTGTATTTGTGTGTTGGTGCATTCGTTTGTGTTTTTTTACTTGTATTAGGATCTATTTTTTTCTGCAATATCGTTGTGTATTAGAAGTTGTAATAGAACGACTAACTAGTACAACTACTCTGCTACTATACTTGATTATCGTATTTTATTTTTAAAATTTTTTTGCTATGACTTGATGTTTAAATATTGCCTATTGAGGGTTGTAATACCTTCAAACGATGGAGGAAAAATCAACTTATTGAAATTTGGGAGGCTTATAAAGTAGCAATTCAAACAGGTATAGATTTACCATTAAGTGAGCTTGTAATAGTTGTAGATTTTTGCTTGAGTATTTATATGCTATTGCTATGACTCAATGTGTGCTATCGCTTATTGTGTGCAGTACCTTAAGATAGCGGAGGAAAGACCAACCCATTAAAATTTGGGAGGCTCATAGAGTAGCAATCCAGGGAGTATGCGTGTTAAAACAAGTATGTTTTGTTGTATTTGTGTGTTTCTTTGTGTTTATGTGTATTCGTTTGTGTTTTTACGTGTACTAGTACCTTTTGTGTATTAGTAGTTGTAATAGGAACGACTAACCTACTATAACTACTCTACTGTCATACTTGTTTACAATATTTTATTTCTAAATTTTTTTGTCATGACTTGATGTTTAATATTGCCTATTAAGTGTTATAGTACCTTAAAATGAGGGAGAAAATGTGAACTTATTGAAATTTAGGAGGCTTATAAAGTAACAAACTAAGCAGTTACAGATTTAACATTAGGTGAGTTTGTAACGATTGAAGATTTTTGCTTGGGTATTTATATTTGTTTGAGTATTTATATGCTATTGCTATGACTCAATATGTGCTATTACTTGTTGTGTGTAGTATCTTAAGATGGTGGACAGAAGACAAACCCATTGAAATTTGGGATGCTCGTCCAGTAGCAATCTTAGGAGTTGCAGATTTACCATGGATTTTTCTTTGATTATTGTATGGTATTGATTTTGTGGTATAACTCTATAAGCGTTTTCTTTTCTTCTCTTTTTGTAAAATATTTAATTATTATCTCCGATCTCAATCAGTTGTTTTAGATTTCTTGCAGTTTTTGAACTATATGGATATTAATGTTGAAGTTTGAAGATCCTACACCATGTTGGCTCTAGCTACGTGATTCTTGTCAATGGTAATCCAGGTTCAAGTGACACAATTGTACACCTACTTTGATGAGTATACATGTTTGTTTCTTGCATTTCTACATGACTATTCCTTTTGCATATCTTTGTGTAGATGCTTTAACTTTCTTTTTTAAATATTAATAATGTGTTTTCTTATTAATTGTTTTAGTGGTTGAAAGTTTTTATTGCTAGTAGAAAACTTTGATTTCATTGTTGTATTCTAAATGAATATTTAAATTTGCATCTTTGGAGAAAAAGACACACTAACTAATATATCAAAACAAACACTAATACACAAAAAATACAAACATTTTAATACACCAAAACACACATACACACGAAGAAACTAAACATGGATGCAATGCCTAAACACATTGTTAACAGACATACTAATACATCAAATTATACATTGTTGTTCTTCGAGCAGCGCCTTCTTCCTGTTTTCGAGATAGTGGATTTCGTTCGGGATAAAAAGCAAACGAGATTGTATGAGAATTGGATTGATAGCAGCAGACATATGTTTCCAAAACGCAACCAGCTTTTGCTCTCGTTGGAGCTTGTCGTTTAAGATGTGCAATTCCTTCTTGGAAAATGGGCATCTTAGTTCTTGCCTTGCCCTATGTGTAAAACCTTGCTGTGGGAGTCTTTCTCCAATGAGAATAAAGAAAGCCTTTGGACAAGACAAGAAAGGAACTCGCCTATTGACACCAAGGGGTAAGAGCTGATTGCTGGCGATACACGTACGAATACAAATACGTAAAAAAAGCATATACTAATACTCAAAATTACATATAATGTTAATGCACACACTCAACACAGAATATGCACATCATTGACACGTCTTAACAAACCTAAATATGCAATATGTGAGTTTTACTTTGATTAGTGGTCCATTGCGTAAAATTTAATACTCTTTTAATTTTGAACAATGATTCGTTTGTGTATATTTTGTGTATTGGTGTGTTTGTGTTTTTTTGGTGTATCAATGGATTTTTTGTAGTAATTGTGGGTGAATAGGCGTTTGCATTTTTTGGTGTATGTTTTAGTTGGTGTTTCTATAATAATGTATTTTATTTTGTTTATATGTTTGTTTTATTAGTGTGTGCGCTTGTGTTTTTGCGGAACATTTGTGTGTTAACACGTTGTGTGGGTGTACATGTATGTACTGATTAGTGTGTTCGTGTGTGCATTTTGGTGTGTTGTTATGTTTGCATTTGTGTTTTTTTAATTGTGTTTTGGTATATTAGTGTTTGTATTTTTTGGTGGAGTCGTGTTTGCATTTTGGTGGATTAGCCAGTGTTAACACTACATGTGAATGGATTGTTTGTATTTTAGTGAATTAACAAGCTAGAGAATTTGAGGTCCTATAGTTTAGCATTGACAACACTCGTCAAGATGTTCCAACCCAGAATTTCATTATATATCTGTGTGTTTGTATATGTGTTTTAGCGTATTAATATGTTTATTTTGTGGTGTATAAGTGTGTATTAATAGTGTGTGGGAGGGTGTAATAGTGTGTGGGTGTATATTTTTTTGATGTATTATGTATTTTTTGTGTATTAGTGTTTGTTAACAGAGTATGTGGGTGTGTATGTATTTTGGTATATTAGAGTGTGTGTGTGTATTTTTTTCATTTATTAATTTGTGTGTTAACACTGTGATTATGTGTATATTTAGTGATTGCGTGCGCATATGTGCGTGTTTTTGTCTAATTTTTTTTTTTGTGTGTGCATGGTTTTGGTGTGTTGTTAGTGTAAGTGGTGACACAATGTGTATTTTGATGTATTTGTGTGTTTGTGTATTCATTTGTGTGTTTTTAGGTGCTCCAGTATCTGTGTTTTTGTGTAATACTGTTGTGTATGTGTTTTTGTATATTCGTTGTATTAAATAACTCCGACAGTGTTGTATTTAACATTGTCAGTCTCAAGCCAGGATAAAGGAGGAGGGTTACATTAGGTAGTCGACAACCAACGTAAAACTATGTCGGATCTACTGTGGTGAGTCCAAACAATGATATATGCACTAATGTTAGTTTGTTTTCTATAATGAATGGCAAAGACGGACTCATATAGCCGGTCCCAAATGATTTAGACATAAAGTTAGGTTTGGTTTACTTTAGTAATTGTAATTGGAACAACTAACCAGTACAACTACTCTGTTGCCATTCTTGCTTATAATATTTTATTTCTTAAATTTTTTTGCTATGACTTGATGATTAATATTGTCTATTGAGTGTTGTAGTACGTTAAAAGGATGGACGAAAGACCAACTTATTGAAATTTGGGAGGCTCATAAAATAGCAATTCAAGTAGTTACAGATATACCAATAGGTGAGTTTGTAACAATTGTAAATTTTTGTCGGAGTTATATGCTATTGCTATGACTTAATGTATGCTATTGCTTATTGTGTAGTACAAATGAAGGGAAGACCAACCCATTAGCATTTGGGAGGCTCGTCAAACAGCAATCTAAGGAGTTGCAGATTTACCTTCAGGCAAGTGGCAAGATTAGGACAAGTGTAGATTTTTCTTTTGAGTATTCTATGGTATTATTGATTTTGTGGTATGTGACTCTTTCAGCGTTTTCTTTTCTTCTCTTCTTGTAAAATACTTAATTGTTGTCTATGATCTCAATCCTTTGCTTAAGATTTCTTATAGTTCTCGAACTATACAGATAGTAATGTTGAAGTTTGAAGATCCTATTCCATGTTGGCTCTAGGTATGCGATTTTTGTCAATGATAATTCGGGTTCAAGTGACATAACTATACACCTACTTTTGAAAAACATACATGTGTTTTTTTTTTGGTATTAGACTGTTAGTGTGTCTAAATAGCGTTTGTGTTTTTTGTGTATGTTTTAGTTTGTCATTTTATAATTGTGTATTTTATTGTGTTTATTTGTTTATTTTAATAATGTGTTTGTTTGCAGTACATTTGTGTTTAACACGGTGTGTTGGTGTGCATGTGTATACTAATTTGTGTGTCTGTGTGTATTTTGGTGTTTTGGTATTTTAGTGTCGTCGTTTTTGGTTGATTAGTGTTTGCTTCTTGGTGGATTAGCCAGTGTTAACACTACATGTGAATGGAGTATGTGTTTTGAAATGTGTTTTTTTGTTTATGTTTTAGTTTGTGTTTCTATAATAGTGTATTTCATTGTGTTTATTTGTTTGTTTTATTAGTGTGTGTGTTTGCAGTACATTTGTGTGTTAATACGGTGTGTGTGTATGCATGTATATGTTGATTACTGTGTCTGTGTCTGTGTGCGTGCGCGTTTTGGTGTGTTATTGTGTTTGCATTTGTGTTTGTTTAATAGTGTGTTGTTGTATATTACTGTCTATATTTTTAGTGGATTAGCCTATGTTAAAACTACATGTGATGGAGTGTCTTTATTTTGGTGAATTAATGTATGTGGTTGTGTATGTGTTTAAGTGTATTAATGTGTTTATTTTATGGTGTATTAGTGTGTATTAACAATGTGTGTGGTAGGGTGTATTAGTGTGTGTTGTGTCTGTGTAATAGTGTGTTGGTGTCTATGTTTTTTTTGATGCATTAGTGTGTGTGATGTGTATTTTTTTCATGTATTAGCTTGTGTGTTAAGAGTGTGATCTTGTGCGTGTGTTTGTGTACTGATTAGTTGTTGTGTGTTTATATTTTTGGTGTGTTAGTGTGCGTGTTTATATTTTGGTGTGTTAGTGTGCGTGTTAACACTATATTTTTTGATGTGTTAATGTGCGTGTTAACACAATGTGTGTTTTGGTATATTCTGTGTTTTTGTGTATTCTTTATGTGTTTTTTTACATTAATATTTGTGTTTTCGTGTATTAGTACTTGTAATAGAAACGACTAACCTACTACAATTACTTTGCCGCCATACTTGCTTATAGTATTTTATTTGTTAAATTTTTGTGCTATGACTCAATGTTTAATATTGTCTATTGAGTGTTGTAATACCTTAAAACGATGGAGCAAAGAGAAACCTATTGAAATTTGAGAGGTTCATAAAGTAGCAATCTAAGCAGTTATAAATTTAAAATTAGATAAGCTTCTAACAGTTGTAGATTTTGTTTGAATATTATATGCTATTGTTTTGTCTCAATGTGTGCAATTATTACTTATTGTGTAGTACCTTTAGAAGGCAGAGGGAAGATCAACCCATTTAAATTTGGGAAGTTCATAAAGAAGAAATCCAAGCAGTTGTTGATTTACCTTTAGGCGAGTATTGTATGTTATCTATTTTTTAGTATGATTTTGTGACTTTTTTTTCACTAATATTGAAGCTTGAAGACCCTACACCATGTTGCTCTAGATACGAATGGACGATGACGATTTTTTTCAATGGTAATTCAGGTTCCAAGTGACACAATTGTACACCTACTTTTAAAGAGCGTACAGGTTGGTCTCTTGCATGTATACATGACTATTTCTTTTTGAATATCTTTAAGTAGATGTTCTAGCTTTCATTTTTGAATATTAATGATGTGTTTTCTTAATAATTGTGGTGGTGGTTGAAAGTTTTCACTATTTGTAGAAATCTCGATTTAATTGTTATATTTTAGATTAATCTTTAAATTTACAAGTTATGAAAAAGAGACACCACACACACAAATATATCAAAACACATACACTAATACACCTAAAACACAAACATACTAATACACCCAAACATATACACACTAAGACATTAAGTGGAGATGATTGAGCTGTTTAGAGTTAAGGATGTAATTATGTATTAAAATTTCATGGATGTTTGGTTATATGCTTACCCTGTTGTGCGCGATTCTCAAGATTTTGGTGATTGTTTTGATCTTATTGTAGAGGGTTGTTGATGAAATTTTGGGAATCAGCTTCGATTCATGTTGAATTTATTGTTTTCTTTTTTATGCTTTTATTGACAATGTACATAAACTTTGGACGTATGAAAAGGAAGGGGTGGGGGGAAGTGAATGAAAAGTTTCTTAGTGCCTAATTGTGGCTTTTGAAGATTAGCTGAAAATTTTTATTTTGTATAGATTTTTATGGTAGTTTTGATTAGCAGTAGCGATGATTGTTGAGAAATAGGGGACCTAGAATCTTATACTGGGCTTAAGTTCTCTCAAGCTTGATGTTTGTAACATCCGTTGAGCCTTGTTTGGTTTTTGGATTGTGAATGCTGATTGTGAAATTGAGTGAAGTTGTGTTTATGAAGCATAGTATGAGGATTCATTCTTAGAGATATGGTAACTGAGTTCAATTGAAATGTCCAGAGATGCATTGGCTTCGAGAATCTCAACAAGGTCATCTCTTTGGCTCTCTAGTAAAACTAAATAAAGGCACTTTCATTGCAGCTTTGTTTGGTGCCACTAGACTTGTGACATTTGACAAACAAAAAGTACAGTGCGATATTTCCCTTTTCCTCTGTTTTCATGTTAGTTAAATGATGCTTTAACTCAATGGTCTACTGTGAGATTAAGTTTGTTTTTGAATTTTTTTTTTTTGGGGGGGGAGGGAATTTTTCCAAAGATATCTAGACTTGTTTCAATGGACTTACTTATCTAGTCTTGTTTCATTATTATATCAAATCCTTTCTTTCCCTACATTATGGGCTTTATTAGAATTGTTGGTCTTGTATATTGTTTTGAATCATAAAGGAAAAAGGAAAGAAAGACCAAGGATTTCTGGAAAAGGAATCCTCAAAATAGCATCATGTTTGTTGTACGATAAAAGATGAACCGTAATACATTTAAAAATAGTCACGCTTTTGAGTAGCTTAATTTCACTAGTGCACTGTGTTTGAGATGTCTAAGAGAGACAGTGGAAGAGAGAGACAATTGAGATGGGTAGTTGCATGTGTACGTGCATGAGAAAGATCAAGCAGAAAGTGGAAATCTTGAGTAGTAGGTGGTTGAGAGATGGGGACATCAGATGACAAAGAGTATTCCCCTGAATATATTGTTATTTTATAAGTAGTGTAAATTGAATCTATGGGTCATTTTCTTTTGGGTTACTTTTCAAACACTAAATAAATACACTTGAGTACATGAGAGGTATACTGTGTTATTCAAAACTGGCCAACCCTAATTCCATTTAGCTTTTATGGGGTTATTTTTTATTTATGAAATCAAATCATTGGGAATTTTTTAATAATCTTGAGGCTTGAACTTCTTGTTCTGTTGGGGCATCAAATGATTAAAAAATTACTTGTTATTAATAGGACAACATCAAACATTCTATTGCTAAAAGATCCATATACAATTATTAAAAAACTCAACGCAATATAAATGGTCTTCTTGTATTATTGGAAGGCTATGTGTGTGCTCACATTTGGTAAACCTATGTGTGTCCTCACAACTATATGTTGTTGGTGGCTTAAAAACCTTCTGAAAAATCTGGTTGGATAGAATAGAACTTGTATCTTTAGGCAGTCCTTTTGTGACAGGAGAGGGATAGGAGGTCCGATTCGAGAAAAGTGGTTGGAGGTCTTGGTCTCCGTCCGCATCACTCCAGATTCAGGTTCTTTTCACTTTCCTGGCCCTATCTCTACTACACCAGCCAAGCCTTTTCCTATGCTTAGTTTATTTGAAGTTGAATATGAACCGATATGGTGGTTGGTGTTATTTTCCTATTCAGCTGGTTGACCGTGGTTTCCAATTGCTTCTATTTTTTCACTAGTTGACTTTGGATTTGGATGTCAAATGATGATATTCATGAGATTATTGTGTATTTTATTTAGGGTCTCAGAATGGAAAGAGAAGGTGGAAAATCTTGAACTGGATATGATGTTGGTTCACAATTCTAGGGTTTTGTGTTGTTCATTTCGATGGACCAGTATTGATGATGGGATATGAGGGGGAATGAAGGTTTCATTGTCGTCCTTTGGAGTTGTGAGCTTTGGAAGTTGGTTTTCTTCCCCAATTGAAATGGTGACTGTAATCCCATCTGATTTTGTGGGTAATGATGATACCAAGGGCCTGAGAACCAAGAAATCAAGGAAAAAGATGAAGCTGCAGATTGCAGAAGCTGGTGGTGGGTGTGGGCATGATCGTGGTGGTGGTTTCAATGCAGACTCTGCAAACATGAAGAATTCATTTGGCAACAGTAGATTCTATGGTGCTGGTACCCTGAAAAGGCAGATACTAGAAAACCTTTCAAATCGCATTGTGCCTATGGTGCGCCTTGTGATCATTTCCATGGAGATTGCCATGGCGGTTTTAGTAATGAAGTAGTGGGTTTGTGGAATGCAGTGTTTTGAAAAGCTCGTCTAGGCAAGAAGCGAAGCGAGGGTCTGTCGCCTTGAGCACTTTAGGCGAAGCGAATGTGACTGAAGCGAGGAAAAAGTGAACGACTTGCGCTTAAGAGAAAAGGCAAGAAAAGCGATGTTGTTGTAAACTCTTTAAAGTTCCTTTATTTTTATTATGGACCATTGAATTGGGGCAATTGGAATAAAATTGTGAGATGCCCATACACCTGATTGCCCCTTATCCCAATATATTTAACACCCAAACCCTAAATTTGCCTAAACAAGACTGGAGCAGCTCCTGAAGAAATTTCGTCTCTTTCCTGAAGAAGTCCCGACTCCCGACAGGTTTGCTCCCACTCTTCTTCTTCTTCTTCATCATCTTTACTGCTGCTTCTATCTTTTTTTTTCTCCTTCTCCTCTTCTCTTCTTCTTCTTCTACTTTTTTTAATTCTTCTTCGACAGAAAACACAGCTTTAGTACCTCTTTTCTGCTTCTGCTTCTTCTATGTTGCTTTATGTATTCTTCTTCAACAGAACCCAGGTATGTTATTTTCTCTACTTCTTCTTCTGATTCTGCTTCTTCTGGTTCTGCATCTTCTCTCCTTCTTCTCCTCTTTTGCTACTAGTTCTGGTTCTTCTTCTTCTTCTCTTCTTTTGCTTACTCTCTGTTGCTACTGGTTCTGTTTTTGCTTCTTCTTCTATGCTTCTTCTTCTTCTTCTTCTTCTCTGCATCTGCTTCTATTTTATTTTGACTCTTCTTTTGTGTTTGTGTTTCTGTGCTACTGTTTTATTTTGATTGAGATTCTTCTTCTCTGTTTCTGTTGCTTCTGTGTATGCTGATTTTGTTTATGCTAATCTACTTATTCTGTTTCTGTACTGCTTATCCTGATTCTTTTGTAATTCTGCTTATGTTTATGGCTTCTGCTGCTGCATCTCTGATTTTGATTCTGATAATGTTTATGGCTTCTGCTGCTGCATCTCTGATTCTAATTCTGCTTTTGTTTTTCTGATTCTCTGCTTCTATACTATTTTTCTAAAATATTCACTTGTGTTTTTTTACTGTTCGCTTCGCTTCTCTCCTAGGCTTTAGGAGCTTTGGTCGATTCGGTTCGCTTTACGCTTTAAATAACCCTGGTGGAATGACATCATAATATGGTGTTTCAACTCCGCATTAGAACTGGTCGTGAAAATGAGATCAAATATAATGGAGCTGGTTGAGGGAACTGGAGAACTCAAACTGATGAGCTCAGGTCCATTTTCATGCCTGTACTCTTTCAACATAGCGTAAAAGGTCTCCAGATACAAGTGGGCATAAAGTTTTGATAAAAACATGTAGATACATGCTAAACCACACCTATGGCAAGTAACCATGGAACACACTATTCAAGACACCCTTATGTTCATGCCTACATACACTTCAAACTAAAGAAGTCTAGCTACTAAGATAGTTTCTTAATAACTACTGCACCAGCTTTTCTCTTATTCATGTTGATATGTAGCTTAGTGCATAAAAGTATTTTTTTGCTCTCAGGTTCAAAATTTCCACCATGATCTTTGCTGAACTTCATGGCAGCTTGATGTTGGAGCCTGACAAGTGAATAGTAAACACTATGTTCTCCTTTTGCGAGTAACTCACCACGACAACCCTCTTCTACAATTCTTCCATTGTCGATCACTGAAATTTTATTAGAATTTGAATTGTGGATAGTCAACCATGCGTGTCCTATTGGTCATAGTCTTTTCCTGTGCATCTTGTACTAGGTTCTCCGATTTAACATCTAATGCAGTTGTTGCCTCATCCAAAAGTAATGTGGCAGGATTTTTCAAAATTGCTCGAGCAAGAGTTAACCTTTGTTTTTGGCCCCCTGATAGCTGCACGCCTTTTTCTCCACAGTAGGTTGCATACCTATCTTTCATTGAATTGCTTTGCAAATAATTATGGTTTACTGTCAGGTTTTGACTTAGTTCGCGCGCGCGCGCACACACACAGACGGACACTCACACAAAACTCATAGAGAGAGAGACCTTATAAATTCATGGGCATTTGCCAGAGTAGCAGCTTAAATAATCTCTGCTTTGTTTGCATTCTCCTTCGCATATGCAATTTTTTCATGGATTGTTCCAACAAAAATTGTGGGCTCCTGACTAACCCATGCAATATGTGACCTTAGAGCTCTTAGATTGTATTTTTTGATGTCAATCCCATCCACTTCCACTAAACCCCTTTGATGGGTCGTAAAATCTCTCAATCAGTCTGATGATTGTTTTGAGATGGACCCTGAGATTGATCAAGATGTGGGTTATGAATCAAGGCTTGAGGACTAGATGTCTTATTATTTTAATTGCTTCTTATTAGCTTTTGAACTAAGTTACAAATTTTCAGAGTTGTAATTGCTTTAAGTTGAAACTTATGGGTTATAATCGTACTAAGATTTGGTAATGATTGGATTATGGTTTTGGATCTTGAATGGATTATTTAAGTTTTTGTTTCAGATGATTTTAGAATTTATATTGTGATGATGTGGTTGTTTAGCATGGTTTTATTGGTAGAATGCTTCTTATTAAAAAAAAAAAAATTGGTAGAATGCTCTCACGAGTTGCTCTTGCCATTTAAATCAGATCTTCAAATAACATTCCATTATTTTTTGGTAAATCATTTTTATTTAATTAATTAAATATTTTGTTTTGAAATTTGCTTATAAACCGGTATAAAATCTGGGGCGTGACAGAGGTAGTTAATGGAATGGCTAATGCTTAGTGGTAGTAAGTGGGAATAGAAAAGATGTGGCAAGTGTGTGGTGAAGTATGTGTGATGGGCATGAAGACAATAAAGTAGGTGAATAAGTATTTATAGTAAGTGGTCACCTAGCTGCTGGTAGTTGCAAGTTTTCCATATAAATAAGTACGTACACATAAAGTAAGGGCTGGGTGGAAAGATGTGACTCTGAGGTTGGGGTGGAGGAGAGGAGATGGTGTAGTGGGTGGTGGCTAAGGTGATGGAACAAAGAGAAAGAGGACCAAGGGAAAAGGGAAACAAATTATCCTAAATCTATACCCCCTTTGGATTATGGTGTGGAAACTACAAGTTGTGATGAAGAAACTTTCTTCAAGAAAGGTCAAAACCAGATTTTGATAGCGAATTACTTTTTTCTGTTGTATTGTACCTCTGAAACTTTGGTATTTTCAGCCCCCCAAATGGCTGCTCTTTCTACTTGGGCATTCTTAATGTCTGAATTTTTTCTGTTTATCTATCTGCTAATTTGGAGTGGTAATGAAGTTGGATTTAGACATAGATCCTACATTTTATATAAATTGCATTGACCTCCCCCTCCCCCAAAGGGTGAGAAGTTGGTGTTTTGGTTTAGTTGGATAGAAGAAATTGACCTCTTTAAGCTCCACATATCTATTTATCTTCACTGGACTGATCCCATCCGGTTTATCTGGGTCCATCTTGCTATTTCTTTTCAAAATTGTGAAGACTGATAGTAATGCATTGGTCCCCTTCGATAAATTCATAGTCATGCTTCCAGTCTCTGCTATAATTCTCCCAAAGGGTCCTGGACAGACTTTTCAGACTGCGAGTCCAGTGAACTTTGGCTTCATCAAGCAGCAAAATTCTCAGGTCTCTAAGCAATGCTCTTGCAATGGAAATCCTCTGTTTCTGCCCTCCAGACATCTGAGTTCCCAACTGCCCTACCTAGAAAAACACAAGACAAAAGCTTTGGTATCTTCTTCATCTTAGTTAGTGGGAGAGCTGTATGGAAAATGTAGCTATAAGTTTACAATTACCATTGTGTAGGTAATAAATCATGCAAATCCTGCGGTGATATATCTTGCTACATAATATTCTATAAAAGCATCAGTTAGTTCAAGTACTTACAAGCATATCATATCCATTTGGCAGCTGTGAAATGAAATGGTGTGCATTGGCGGCTTTAGCTGATTGAACAATCACCTCCTGTGAAGCTTCCTCTTTTCCAAATAGAATGTTCTCTTTGATTGAGGTTGCAAAAAGGATAGGCTCTTGGCTAACTAGACCCATTTGACTCTGCAACCACTTATGCTGAAGCCCCTTTATTCTAATTCCATCCAGTAGAATCTCTCCCCCGAGGGGATCATAGAATCTTTCAAGCAAATTGATTACTGTTGACTTACCTGACCCACTACCACCTACCAACCCAACCATTTGACATGCCATCACCTTAAGATTGAACTTTCTCAATACCAAGGTCTCTGGTCTTGATGGATATGCAAAATTAATGTCTTTGAGCTCCACCCGTGACATCGGATATGGTTTTGCCTTGTTGATCTGCAAAGTCTATGCTTGGGACACGCTCAATCATTTCGAAAATTGGAGCTGCTTCAACATTCGCCTCAGTGAAGTACTTTACAATTATTAGAGCATCCCCAAGTGCACTGCAGAATGATAAGAGTAGATATCATCAGCAAGGGTTTGTTCGGATTCTGTGGAGTGAAGTTAGGTGAGAAACACTTCCCATCACCAGCAATAGTTTAGAATTCAATCTGAAGATTGGTTTGTGATTGTTGAAAAGGTTATAAGACCAATATTCAAATCAACTATATCTTGTACATGAATATCCTAGAGCATTGATTAATGATCTCTTGAAAACAAATTTTCAAAATACATGAAGGAGTAATAGGATTGATGTTTCAAAATATATGCCAATCGTCCCTCATCACAAATTAAGGTAGCATGTTGCTAATGGTAAAAAAATGATGGTGATGATTCCAAAAGAAATTAGAAACGGAAACATATCCCACAAATGGAATACCATAAATATTTAGAATTTCAATTAGAGTTGCATGATATAATAGGCTTGTTAAATTTTTTGATAGTCTTTAGTCCTTCATGGCAGGTATAAGCAGTTTGAATAAAAATATGATTATGGTAGTTATTATCATCTATGGGAAGTCTGAGGAAGAGAATTTTGAGCTTACAGTCCTCCGTTGACAATGCATACGCCAGCAGTGAAAGCATCCCCATCTTTGACTCCCTTTTCAGTGACCAAGATGCTCCCTTACCAGCCCTGAAGTGCCCAAACCCCATAAGTAACTCTAATACTACCAATAGCCATTCCCTTCAACAGCCCTTGTTTTGTCCCATGCTTTAGAGTTGGACATAATACAGCTGAAAAGTTCTTCACAGTCCGCTCCTCCCCAACATAGGTATAAACAGTCCTAATTGAAGATAATGCCTGCTCTGCTATCCCACCAACGACTGCATAAGCTTCTTGTATCTTTTCTCCTACCACTGCTAAAAGCTTCCCGTGTACTAGGCCTGGAATAATAAGCATCAACAATGCAGGGATGGCAATGACAGCCAGTCTCCAACAAAGGTACAAAGCAGTCATTGGAGCTGTGATGAAGATATTGCTAGATTTGTAATGAAGTTTGGAATCTGTGTCATTGCTAGACAGTCAATAAGGTTGAATATTAAGTACCAATTAAAATATCATTCTATTTCAAAATAATCAGTTGAAAAACCTTCTCGCTAAGAACCCCGTGTATGACTAATGTGTCGGCTGAGACCCCTTGGGATGTCATGGATGCTCCATGAATTGTATCAAAAAACCCAATTTTCTGTCGTAGAACAGCTTGCAAATATCTAGTGCGTAGTTGAGATGTTTTGCCTTTCTGCAGTGCGTGCCCAACAGAATCCTTCTGTTGGAGACCAATACACAAGAAACATTATAACTGGATTAGGTGTCCAGAGTAAAGGATAACATAGGTCAGCAGTAATGTTTTCAATTGATAATATATGTTTCCCAATCTCTATTAGATTACTTTCTTATTATTTTTCAGATTTTGTCCTACCTCTGGTTGCCTATTCATAGATAGTTCATTCCCGAAGGTATAGTAGGTTTAAGGTGGGCTGTAAGAAGTTTTGTCTTCCTATTTTGCTGAGAAAAAGAGTACAGTTTTTCTTAGGGTGGAACTAAGAATAAAAGAGTTTTCTAGAGAGCTTCGTATTAGGATTCAGTCTCACTTTTTTTTTTTGTAAAGGAGGAATTGGCTCAAGGGTACCTAAAATGATGGAAAGCATCCGAGCCCATTAAACTTTTAAGGTTGCTGTGCAAGTCTATTTTGTGGATGCAGACACATACATATGAGGCAACCCCCTGTTGTTGGTGTTGGGACTGGCTGAGGAATTTAGAGTGATTCCAACTGACTCCTCGATGGCAACTTTTACAATCTTTACAATTGATGGGACACCAACTATAGACTAGCTCTGTATATCTCATGTAGATTGTAAATCATTTTCATACAAACAGTTGGTACATTTCATGTGGCAAGAGCAGAACGTTGATTTTACTTGATGTGTCAGGACCTGAAATGGGAAGGGAAACATGTCTAGTTAAGGACCAATGGAGCCTCCCCCGACTTGAGGAATAAATGGAGGGCTGTAAATTGCCAGTGAAAAGTTTTTATCATCCCAGTGTCTGGAACCAGCTGCTCATTAAGCAGCCACATGGCAATTCTCAATGACTTCTCTGGAACACCCCCCCTCCTTGGGGTGTGTGTGGCAGGGGCCTTTTTCTGTTTGGGGGTGGGGGTTTAATTGGATTATTTTCTCTGGTATAACCTTGGACCCATGTGCTCAGGCCTATTTGTATGATTTAATTATTCAGATACTAAACAATTTTCAGTTCAAAGATGTATAGGAGAAAAATCGAAGTACCTAGAAATGCTCCTGAACCAATGCCAACAGCTACATAGAGCAAAGCTAGTGCATACTGCAAAGTAAATGAAATCAAAGCTGTTTTACTATCCTCGCACTTAGACATAGATAGTTAGTTATAATAATGGCAGCTCAAAATTTGATTCTGAATACAAGATGCAGAGTCGGTTGGTTTTCCTCTTTCTTTTTACTACATGGTGGCTACATATATCCATCTAGTATGTGTTCTATTATGTTTTGGGCACACGTACATAAGAGTTTAGATGAAAGTCCTGACTCTTATGTTTCATTCAGCAGGGAAAAATAAGGAAAAAAGAACCGACGAAAGTCTTAGTATAGAAAAGCATATATGTATGCTGTGATCTAAGCTTGATGTCTCTTACTTAAGTTTGACTAACCTTGTTTTTGTCTTCAGGTTAAGGGGAGTATCAACGCTGGCATAAAGAATATCAACTGGCTCAGCACTAGCATTATTACAGACATGGACAATAAATAGAATTTTCTTTGTTTAGAATTTCTAATTCTAATTATTTATTTTTCTTTTCCATCAGCAACACATCCAATCGTCCCCAGCGCCATCAGCAGCATATCTGAGTGTTTCAGAACTGTCCGTAATGACCCACGTGGCTGTCTTGGATTTCCACTTCCCTCAGTTTTGCCCGGCAATCCCTCATTGCTCTCCATTTCTTGGTCGAGCTCCCCCTTTTTCCAGCAATCCTGCTAGTTCAATTTCCTCTGTGAAAATTGCTCTCAGAATGCTTTGTGTATAAAGAAAGAAAGACCAGCATCAGCAAGCCATGTGGATCCCATTGTCTCATGGGTCAGGAGCAAGTTTAATATTTGTGTCACTTCTTCAGATTGTTAAAGGTACTCTGCATTTCATAGTTTACAATTACAAGTTTTAACTTCTTTTTCTTGTCTTTGATTGGAAAATTTAACTGCTTAGAATTTGTTTATATATATATGTATATATGTTCATATCCTCATTTTCATATTGCCAGTCATCCATCATACATAGAGCCTGGAAAATGACTTCTTTAGTATGATTGCCTAGTTCCTTTTACAAAATTGGGAGGGGCTCTTCCGGTTGAGATTTGAGTAACGCTAGTTTTGGAAATAATCTTTACTGCATATATTTAGGAATTTGTAATCCCTTCATTCAAAGGAATTAGTTGAGATTTTATTTTCTTTCCTTGCTGATCAGATCATGACTTGATCTGTACATGTGTATATATTGTAGTCTTTTAACATAGAAAAATATTGGAGAGAAATATACAGCTTTCTCAATTCCTATTTTGTCATGGTATCAAAGCAATGATCCCATTGCTTCTGTAAAATTCCGCATACTCTAACTAAAGATGTCTACACCAGTGATTGATCCAGCAGATCCTCTGTTTCTTCACCCTTCTGATCATCCTGGACTGATCCTTGTTCCGAAGGTCTTAGATGGAACCAATTATGCCATGTGGAAACGATCAATGCTGATCAGCCTTAGTGCCAAAAACAAATTGGGATTCATCAAAGGAACCGTTACCACTCCAGAAGAAAAAGATCCCACATACTCTTTATGGCAGCGTTGCAATGCTATGGTACTCTCTTGGATATTCAATTCTCTAAGTCAAGACCTTATACACAGTGTTCTCTATGCTGAAACTCGCTCATAAATTTGGACAGATCTTCAAGACCGATTCTCTCAAGGTGATTTTTCTCATCATTATCAAACTCAACGATCCATTGTTGAACTGAAACAAAATCAAGAAACAATTTTTTCTTACTATAAAAAGATGAAAATGTTGTTGGATGAGCTAACCACCTGCAGCCCCTCAATCACCTGCACGTGTGGAGGTCAAAAAGATCTAAAAGCAAAAGAAGAAAGAATTCGCCTTGGTCAATTTCTTATGGGACTCAATGAGACATATTCTGCTGTACGAGGACAGATTATGCTCATGCATCCTTTACCAACTGTCAAAAAGGCATATTCACTTTTATGTGAAGAAGAAAAGCAGTGAGACCTCACTGAAACAAAAAGCAGTGATCTTATTCATGCCATGAGTATTCACACTTATGACAACTCCAAGGAGTCGCAAACTGTGGCTTCAAGACAACAAAAACAATGGTTCTCCACTCATTCCAAGCCTCAAGGCAATCGAAAACCTCTTCATTGCTCTTATTGTGAAGGCACTACTCACACTGTGGATCGATGTTATTTTCTCAATGGGTTCCCAGTTGGTCACAAACTACATGGCAAAGAAGTTCAGCCACCCAATCGTAGCGGAAAAACTGCTGCTCACCAAGCCAGTGCAACCATCATTTCAGATTCACACAAGTCCTCCATCCATCCTACTCCTCAATTCACCTCTCAAGAACTTGCTCAAATCAAAGCCTTTTTCAATGGTAAACAATCTACTCAAGCAAACTCTATAGGTATTTCTGCCCCTTTCTGTTCTTCATTTACTGCACAAAAGACAGCCTTGAGTCATTGGATCATTAACAGTGGCGCCACTAATCACATAGCCACATCTGTTTCAATCACCTCTCCTCTCTCTTCTCAAGTAACCTTACCTATTGGTGCTTGCTCTGCCATAACTGGCATAGGTTCCACCCAACTTTTTGCCCACATGCGTGTTAAAAACATACTCTGTGCTCCATCTTTCCATGTCAATTTACTGTCAGTCAGTCAACTCACAGCTACCTTAAATTGTTCTATTCATTTTTTTCCTACTTTTTGTGTACTGCAGGACCTAACTACGAAGAAGATGATTGGTTTAATGGCTTGTACTACTTCGTGCCATCAATAAAATCTGCATCATCTACCACACCGATCACTTATCATGCTGCTTCCACTCCAAAAATTCCATGGCACCAGTGGTTGGGACATCCCTACAAGGCACCTTCACAGTTTTTGAGTCATGTTATTCCTTCATTTGTATTTAATTCTCAACATTTGTGTGAAACTTGCCATTTAGCTAAGCAAACACGGCTACCTTTTCCTTCTAGTACTATTCAAACTATACATTCTTTTGATCTTCTTCATTGTGATATTTGGGGACCTCTTCGTACTGCAACTCATACAAGGGCACATTATTTTTTAACAATTGTTGACGACTATACTAGATTCACATGGATATTCCTCATGCAATTTAAATCCGAAACACAAGGTTTACTCAAAACTTTTATATCTTTTGTCAATACTCAGTTTAATTGCCAAGTTAAATGTATTCGTAGTGATAATGGCTCAGAATTCATATCCATGAAACAATATTTTTTCCATCTTGGCATATCATTTCAAAGTTCTTGTCCATCTACACCTCAACAAAATGGTGTAGTTGAACGCAAGCATCGACATCTCTTAAACGTTGGTAGGGCTTTAAGGCTTGACGCTAATCTTCTATTGCAATTTTGGGGGGAGAGTTTACTTATTGCCACCTATCTAATCAATCGACTTCCTACCCCTGTGCTGCAATACAAATCTCCCCATGAAATGTTGTATAACAAGCCACCCAATTACTCTAACTTGCGAGTGTTTGGATGTCTTTGTTATGCAACAAATCTGCACCCCACTCACAAATTTGACTCGTGCCAGAAAATGCATCTTTGTTGGTTATCCCATTGGCCAAAAAGCTTACCGTTTATATGACCTCAAAACTCACCAATTTTTCTCAAGTCGAGATGTCATCTTTCATGAGGAAATTTTTCCTTTTCATACCACAGAATCCTCACCAGCTCCATCCATTTCTCAACTTGAGATAACCGACTACCTTGTTGAATCCCTTTCTTTTCCAACTTCCCTTCATTCCTCATTACCTGAGACCGCTTCCACGGAAAATTTCTCCTCTCCTGTCTCATCCCCAGCCCCTTCTCTCCGTAGAAATGAACGCACCAGAAAACCATCCATTCTTCTTCAAGATTTCCATTGTGGACAAGTGAGTACAATGCCATCAAATGCAACCTCCAACCAGGAATCTTCAACCAAGTCAGGTACTCAGTATCCTTTAAGTAACTACATTTCATATGATTCTTTATCTTCTAATCATAAACACTTTGTCAATGCTATCTCAAGTGTTCTCGAACCCACCTCATATGCACAGGTTGTATTAGATCCGAAATGGCAAAAGGCCATGCAACATGATCTTTGGTTCCTTTACCTACTGGTCATCGTCCCATTGGCAGCAAATGGGTATATCGTATCAAATATAATTCTATTGGCACGATTGAACGCTACAAAGCACGATTAGTTGCCGAAGGATTTTCTCAACAAGAAGGCTTGGATTACACTGAGACATTTGCTCCTGTTGCCAAGTTAACAACTGTTCGATGTATTCTTGCTGTTGCTGCCGCCAAACAATGGCCCTTACATCAAATGGATGTGGCCAATGCCCTCTTTTCATGGTGATTTAGAGGAAGAGGTATATATGACTCCACCACCAGGTCTTTGTCGACAGGGGGAGAAGCTTGTATGTCGACTGCACAAGTCCCTCTATGGACTTAAACAAGCTCCTCGTAATTGGTTTGCCAAATTCTCTCATGCTATCAAAAAGGCTGGTTATGTTCAATCACATTCAGATTATTCTTTATTTGTGAAGACTAAAGGTCCATCTACAACTATGGTACTCATCTATGTAGATGACATAGTGATAACAGGAAATGATGCAACTACTATACAAAGTCTGAAAAATTTTTTACATCAACAATTCCACATCAAAGATCTCGGTTCTCTAAAGTTTTTTCTTGGCTTGAAAGTTGCAAGGTCCAAGGAAGGCATTGTAATCTCTCAACGAAAATATACCTTGGAGATTATAGATGATGTTGGTCACTTGCGTGCTCAACCTTCAAATTTTCCAATGGAAGTAAATCTAAAGCTCATGGATGATCAAGGAGATTTACTACATGATCCAGAGCGCTATAGGAGATTAGTTGGACAATTAATCTATCTCACAATCACAAAACCAGACATCACATACTCGGTCAATATCCTAAGCCAATTTATGCATGCACCAAGAAAGCTTCATTGGGATGCTGCTCTTCGCATTATTAAGTACCTTAAAGGAAGTCCAGGTCTCGGCTTGTTATTTTCATCAAACAATTCTTTAACTTGAAGGCTTATTGTGATGCAAATTGGGCAAACTGTCCTATGACTCGAAGATCAACTACAGGTTATTGTGTGTATTTGGGAAATTCACTGATTTCATGGAAGGCCAAGAAGAAGAAAACAGTCTCCAGATCATCCTTGGAAGCTGAGTACAGGTCCATGGCAGCAACAACTTGTGAATTAACTTGGTTCAGATTTTTGCTTAATGACGTGCAGATTTTCACTGGACTAGCAAAGTTATTATGTGATAATCAAGCTGCACTTCATATAGCAGCAAATCCAGTATAGCATGAGCGCAACAAGCACATAGAACTCGATTGCCACGTTGTAAGAGAAAAGATACAAGAAGGTCAAATTGTTACAGAATTTGTTCCATCTCATTTGTAGTTGGCAGATGTTTTTTACAAAAGCTCTTGGAGGAAACGTGTTTAAGGACTTAAGAAGGAAGTTGAACATGCTGGATATACATGCTCCAATTTGAGGGGGAGTGTTGAGATTTGATTAACGCTAGTTTTGGAAATAATCTTTACTGCACATATTTAGGAATTTGTAATCCCTTCATTCAAGGGAATTAGTTGAGATTTTATTTTCTTTCCTTGCTGATCAGATCATGACTTGATCTGTATATGTGTATATATTGTAGTCTTTTAACATAGAAAAATATTGGAGAGAAATATACAGCTTTCTCAATTCCTATTTTGTCACTTCCCACCTATTCTTCCACTAATAAAAGAGTATAACTTAAAAAAAATAAGCTTTGCCCACCCATTAAGTGACTTTCTCACACCATCTTTTTCCTGTGTATGGTAGACTTAGTCGCTGTGATGCCTATGCCTCAAGTAAATAAATAAGCTAATAGCAACCGCGTGTTATGACAGCTTTTGATTGAAACATAGCTGTAGCTTCAAAGCTAAAGAGGAAGTTTTTTCTAATTTGAAGGTTTCCGCTGTAGCAGCAAAGAAGAAGGCAATTTTTGCTGCTAAAATTAGGAGGTTTCTTCATCAATACCAAAGAAGTTTTCACTATAAAGGCTAAAGGCTATAAAAGTGTATCACTAGTTTCTATAAAATGAAATAAATGAAAAAGGGATAGTATATAGAAATCATGAAAATCAAGCAAAAGGAATACTATGAGACCACCTATTTAGTAAGAATGCACAAAATTTAGAATCAAAAGGAAAAATAATCATTCGTGTAAAGGTGAATATTTTATCTATGCTATGTCCCTAGCATTCATTTTATTTAGAATCAAAAGGAAAAATAATCATTCGTGTAAACGCGAATATTTTATCTATGCTATGTCCCTAGCATTCATTTTATTTATGAATCAAATGCTATGCTTCCCCCAGATCCTGAATTCGTTAGCATGGTAGTTTCTAAGACATTGAGAGGAAGGTATGGTTTTGGGTTGTGAAACGCAAGCTTTCCTTTTAAGTATGAACAGCGTTATTCAGGCATCAATGGCCTTTGAAGAGTAAGAAATGAGAGGTACTGGTAGAAAAAAATGTTACCATCTCACAATGCTGGAAGAAGTTTTAGTTGATTCTGTAATGTTTTTATGTCCTATGGTCGATTTGAATTTATTTGTCTTGATGTTCAATTGCAGTCATTAATAAGTTTTTCTGGTGTATGTTCTTTTGCAGAATAACGATAGTAATGACATTCTCGATGATGGAGAGAATTGTCAAACCAGAGCATTAGTTAGTAGTGTGCCACCATGGATCTCAGGTTCAATAAGTTCTCGCATTCACCAATTTTTTGGTTTAATTTATATTTTTTTGGCCGAGTTATTAAATTGACACTCCCTAGCGTTCATTTTATTTATGAATCAAATGCTATGCTTCCCCAAATGTTGCACAATTCAAATTTTCAATGCTCCCCTACTCATGTCTAACGTATTAAGAACAACCTACGTGCATGATATGTGTATGCAGAGTTGATAACATTGCCTTAAACAGAACATAGTGGGTGATTATGGGATGAGAACACACTACTACGTTGTAACCAGTTTCTCCTGTGTGGGGAAAAAAATAACATGTCAAATGTTGTGCAAATTAGGGTATTATATCATGAATGCTCTTCAAATCATAGCTCTGAACTTTCAATTGTCTCGTATTAAACCTTAAAACTATGAAAAATGTAGTAATTAGTCCTTTCCATTTAAACAAATGGAACAAAAATCCATGAAACTTTTTTCTAGTTTTCTTAAACGTTTATTAAAAAACACAACAGTGGAAAAAAGGGTTAGCCACACTAAAGAAAAGAAAATTCAAAAAAATAAAATAAAAAGGTTAGCCACACTGAAGAAACTAAGGCAATTGATTAAGGCATGCACAACATTGATCCCCACTCAAATTTAGCTTGCCTTAGATGAGTTCAGTATGTCTATTTTACTGAGGTTAGCCGTTGGTCTAATGACCATCGTCTCCATTATTAAATCTTAAGGTTACGAGTTTGAATCTCATTATTCTCTTCTCTAGAATAGTGTGGATCAAAAAAAAAAAAAAAAAAAAGATATGCATATTTTACTGCTCCCATTTTTTTCTACTTGGATTTGGTTCCAATAAGAACAACCCTATTAGATCCCTTGCCATAGGCATAAGGTATCACTTTACTTACAAGTCCGAGCACCAAATTAAATCAAAGAACACGCTACGAATCAGAGTTGTGCAGTGAAAGTGTGTTGGACCCCATAACCCACAGGTCTTTTTTTTTTTCTTTTTTTTTCTGGTATGTACCGAGGATCAATGGACAGAACATTTTGCTGGAAATATTCTATTTGGGAAAAAGAATAAATTACCAGAGCATTGAAAGCTTAAATCTTCTTAACATCTTGTGGTGAAATAGTTGGTCATTTGACTATAAATTTCTAGAAAGTCGTTCCCGCAAAATATTTTTCATCAATGCATATATATATGCCTATCATGGCTGGAAAAGCAATCTCTCTAGTTAAATTTTTTCTAGTTCCATCCTCAAAGAAAAAACCTGCAAGAAAGGGAAAGCAATATCTCTAAAGTAAAAGCAAAATGGGTTTATACATAACATGTCTATCATACAAGTCAAAAGAATCCTTCTTTTGTGCATAAAACTCCACATCGGTAGTAAGGCAGCAGCAAAATTTCCAAGTTCCTAAGGTGAACTACTAAACTAAAGACTAGAACATCCCAAACTTTATTCATTACCACTTCCACCAAACTTTATTCATTACCACTTCCACTGCTGTCATCAGGTGAGAATGAATCGACAGTGACGAAAACCTGCAACATATCACCTCCACATCATTAAGAGAAACTCATTGATCTGTTTGGTTGCCAAGAAAAGTAGGAAAGAAAGATGATCACTTCATTTCTTGTACATAGAGTAGCAGAAACAGAGTTGCTGTTTACAAAACTTCAATTCCAATTAAATCCTGGTTGGTCTTATGCAATGTTACTTGGGTCATGGATCGATTTGGTCCGTGATAAGGGGTACGAATATGTGGTACAATACTCTTCCAATAGCGATATGGTGGGAATATGCTTAATTGGTAGGCTATTTTGCGTTGTGATTTACTTTGTAACTTCTATATAGAATAATACGTGCGCATGCACAGTTAATAATTTATTTTATATTTCTGATCAATGTTGTCAAAATATGAGTTTAAAGAATGCTAAAATAAAGAAATAAGAAGTTAGAGTTATGATTTGGGGTTAGAATTGTGCAGTGAGATTGCTTAGATCACGAGTCAATTTGTAGTTTGAGTTATAATTTGGGATTGGGACTTTGAGCGATCTAAATTGGGAACTCACCCCATTTCAGGTCATGTGACCTCGGTTCGTGAGACGTTAAGGGTATCTAAGATCCTTTCTATGGTCTCAATGCCATTCAATTTTTATTATCAGAACAACAAAACAAAAAAATCTAAATTTGAATGAATGGAAGTTGTTTTTCCTCAAATTTCCCAGCAACCAAACAGCATAATAACAAATCCCAATGCATGTATACAACAAGATCATTATAAAAAACAATCAACTAGAGAGGAAAGCTTACTTGGGTCAGAGTTTATGAGCATAGCAGTTCCTCCAAAACCACAACTTCCACCATTTTTCTTGTTCTTCTGCCAATAACTATTGAAAGCATAAGAAGCATGGGCCACAACTGTATCAGGAAAATAACAGCTTCCATGTGGCCAAATGGCTTCACAATCAGCACCACCTTGTCCACAGGCATAATCCATTGCTTCTTGCAATGTCTCTGCTGGCACACTAGGCTTTGCCACACACCACAACTCACTTTGTTCCCCTGCCACCGGAGCCACCACCACACCACCAGTAGATGGATTACAAGGCGGCAAATGGGGCCCGTAAGGCGGGCTAGCCGGATTAGCCATTGGAGGCAGTTCTGGTGCATAAGGGAGAGAGAGTGGTGGTGGTGAGACTTTGCCAACCAAAGGAGGAAGTGGGCTTTTGGCCACATAGGCTGGAACAGAGTAACCAATGGGGGAAGGGGTTGGGGCTAATGGGGTTGGCCTTGCTGGGAAGGGGTCTATAAGCTTGGAATCCATGGATGAGAGTTTTCTGCTTGTGGATTTTGTTTCTTTTGGGCTGGTGACGATCACATTGATCTTGTTTAGGTTAAAGACCCCAAGATTTTTCATGGACTTTGAATGAGAAGTAGCCAAATTCACCACAATTTCTTCTGCTAAACTAGACAAAAATGGAGGTGGGTTTACCAAATAAGTTGAGTTGGTGTCTTGCAAGAAGTTTAGCATAGGCTTTATATATTCATCAGACAAATCAACTTTGTATATAGCAGGGAATGAGTGGAAACAGTTCGAAGAGAGAGGAGCTGAGACTTTGATTTCTCTCTCCAAACCCCACCTAGTCAGAGTGTAATATATATTCTTAAGAGATGGCAGAACCAAACCAAATTTGACTTCTTGGTCTCTATTGCAGAGCAGATTGTGACCCACAGCAATGGTGGTAATATTAATGGCTGGGTAGTGGGCTAGAACATGGGTCCTGATCCAACTTTCAGCCATGAGAACACTGCTAGAAACCTCATTGAGGTGTACATTATCCACTGAAACCGCCAGAGGAAAACCTGTGTGAGACAATGCTTGAAAGGCCACTGAAGTTGGATCATAAAGAGTTAAGAGCTCAACTGATTCTTGACCTGCCCCTGCAAAGAAACAAACATGGTGGATGATAGGGTCTTTTGAGTTGAAGAAAATAGAAGAAACAAACCCAAAAATGGAAAGAGGTTTTTTTAAGAAGAGTTGCTTACCGGTAAGAGCCAGATAAAGAATGAAAAGATGAAGAAACCACACCATCTTCAACATTTTAGTGGCAGAGATGATTGGACATCCAAATGCAGGCATATATGAAGCCAGAGGCAAAAGTTTGTTTGTTTCTCTCTCTCTCTCTCTCACAGAGAGTCTGTTTCTCAATGTGCTTTTATGAAGCCGGAGGCAAAAGTTTTGGAGTGCTAAGCGCGGCATTATATAGGTAAGTTTCTCTTAATTGCTCAGACCAATTATTTTTCCCCAGTCTCCAAAACTCCTGCTAAAATGGGATGTACATTTGAATACATCCCAAATTGGTCAGCATTCAAAGCAATAATTCTTTTTGGGTGCCTTGATGGAACAAAAGACATTGTGTACTGTGAAGCCCAAGGCCCAATACAGAGACAGCAACCCAAAGAGAGGTGTTGGGGGGCCCCCCGGGGGAAGGGGGGGGGGGGGGGGGGGGGCGGGGGTTGTCATGTGTGTGAGAGAGAGAGAGAGAGGGGACATTCTCTTCTGTTTTTTGTTTTTTTTTGAACTGACATTATCTTCTGTTGAGTCCTGCTGGTTCACTTCTCTGTGTCCTGGAAACACAGTACAGACCGACGAGAGGTCGATTGGAGACTGTTGAGCGAGACGTCGCCGTTTTGGGATGAAAAAAGAAATTGAACAGGTCAAAAAAGTACCAAGGACAAATGAGGGTCCAATGAAAAAAATGTGTCTCTGCGCTGTGGGACCCACTAAAGCTATGAGCTGGCGATTTGTGGACCACCAATATTGGGTCCCATCTTGGACCAACGCTGGCGCTCAACAACGTTATTTGCAATAAAAATTATTATTTTTGTAAATATATTAACATATTTATGAATATTTTTATTATTTTTATAATCGATATTTTTATTAATTTTTTATGTAAAACAATAATAATAAAAACAGCAACAATAATATTAAAAATATTTACAAACAATACGTACCAATTTTTTTTAGGGCAGTAGACACAACTTTAAGGATGGACAAAATAAATATTCCATAGCATGACAAGTGGTACACAACGCCAATTACAAGTAGCCACAACCTAAGGGTGGCTATACGTTCGATACAGTGTTTTTTGAAATTATAGTTTGGCCCATCGAGTTTAATAAATTACAGTTTAGCAACTAAAGTTTTGGAAAATACAAGTTGGCCCCGAGTCACTTAAATTACACAAACTATTGGGCCCAAAAAAATTATGTAAATTACATTTTGGCCCCTATAGTTTTGAAAAATTACAGTTTGGCCACTCAAGTAGTTTTATAAATTACAGTTTGGCCCCACAAGTATCACAAATGAAAGTTTAACCACAAGATTTTTGTACATTATAGTTTGGCCCCTGAAGTTGCAAAAACTATAATTTGGCCACTAAAAATGTGGAAATTATAGTTTGGCCCCCTAGAGTTTTGGAAATTACAGTTTGGACCCCCAAGTTTCAATAACTACATTTTGGCCCCTGTAGGTTTGGAAATTACATTTTGGCCCCTATAGTTTTGGAAATTAAAGTTTGACCCCAACATGTTTGGAAATTTCATTTGGGCCCCAAAATTTTGTAAATTACAATTTAGTCATGCTATATAAATATTTCAAAAAGTATTTTATTTTTCATTATTTTTGTTAGTTAAACAATTCAAAATCAATTTGAAAACACTAAGGCATTGAGTCCAAAACTTATGATATAAAAAAAATAATTAACACTCCAAAATATAACCATCAGACAATATTATTCTGCATACACAATTTGTATAATCGAAGTAGAAAAAAATACAAATTTTTATTAAAAAAAGATCACACATGCTGCAGTCATTCCTAAAATAGATCTATCCGAAATATTCCTCCAGTCTTGGGGGAGAATTCACAAAATTCCATATTAGCATTTCCTACCTTCATCCCACCTAGGCAAACTCTACCCCAATCCGCACCCTATCTTAATCTTTACCCCCTTTTACCACCATAGCTGCACATGAACCCTTGCACCCCTCGACATCTAGTGATAAATTTAAAATGAGATAAAGTGGCTAACAATAAGAGTGATAAATTTGGCGAAAGAGTTGTGTTAGGCTTATTTATAGAATTTCTATTTGAAAATTCAAACATTTTACAATAAAATTATTTGTAATTAATTTAGGAATCAAATGCATTATGTTCTTAAATTAGATCCTAATAATATTCCCCCACATTTATTATTTTTGAACCAAATACATTTTCAAATAAATAAAGATAAAGTTGAGTTAAAAAACTGGGAGAAATGATTTCTTTGGGGTTATTCTCGGTAAATAAAATCCTGTGGATTGCTGAATGTTCTGGGAAAATAGGTAATCTTTATGGGTATTTTTGCTAAACAAATTCTTTTGTATTGCTTATAGAATCACACATGCCACGGGGAAAATTTTGGTGCTATATTCGTTCGGTATAATAAATATTGAACTTAGTAACTACCTAAAAAAAGAAAGAAATAAATAAAAGATAAGAGTAGCAAGAGGAACATGCTGTATGTACTACACCGAATTCTCATATGTGATGTCATTATGCAATCCTTTGGTATTTGATCAGTTAGGATCACTTGGTTGCTTGTTCATTGTCATTTTCATTGTCTTTAAATCTGATGGACGTGAATCTGCATTTAACAGCGTTGATGGAATGCGAAATATACGGTTCCTTGCCACCGCCATTTAATTAGAAGCTTTCCATGTATGAAAAAACATGTTTCTAAAGTTCAACTCGCAGTCAACGAATGATGATTTGCCAATAAATCATACAGAATAAGCTTTGGAACTTTGCGAGTGGTGGCTGTCAAACAAAACACGATGAATCACAAAAAAATCATCAAAACTGATGTGTTATGAAATAATGCATTGCAAATTTGCTATTGTCTTCTAAAATACTTTATGAATACTAACAGTTAAAGAGAATGCTCAGTGATCTTACAAAGTGTTCGAAACTTAAAATTTTCTAAACGCTAGATTACAATGATAGATGTGAAAAAAGAGAAAACACATGCCAACCCCTGCTCGGGGCGAGCACACAGAGAAAAAATCACCTCTATTCAACTTTTGAGAGAGTTATTGATTGCACTGTCATTTTTAGAAGGTAAATTCTTTTTGACACGATTGATATATTGTCAAGATCATTAGATTTTCTCTGAAAACTTAATTTGAAAATGGGAGAGATGTGTTGACCAAAATACATAGAAATAAGCTCAATGAAAAACGAAAGAGATTGCACAGAAATATCTTGCGTAAAGAATTTTGAAAAGTACTCTATCTCACGGTAAGATTGGAGAGCCTTGCATTTCATATATATATAAACAAAAGATAAGTGAGGGAGAAACGTAGAAGTGCAGATAAATTGTTAGAAGGACAACTCTTTAGAGTCTTGAAATGATACGTCTGAGTCAAGAAATGTTGTTGGGCGGAAAAATAAAATTTAGAACTCACTATAAATTGTTAGATTAAAATTTTTGAGATGATCTGAACCGTCTTTTATGTTATGATTACGTTGTCCATTAGATGTATTTATGTTTTGTCTCAAAACGATCTAGACTTCTCTTTATCTTTAGATTCAAATTTAGTTATACTTTATTATATAAATATGTTGTTTTTAATTACAAAAGATAAGATAGACATTAGTTATGTTGCTAAGGTTATTTTGGTCAATCAAAAGTATTTTACTTTGGTTGATATTTTTAGAAGTAGTATAGATATAGATATAGATTATTGACTCTTATATTTTTTTTATTTTTGTCAAGTTTATATTTGTTCTAATTTCACTTTTTTCTCATGGAAATTAATTATTATTTTACTTACTATTTAATTCTCCAGTTGTCTGAATTATTTTTAGTAGAATTTCTGTAGCAATATATTTTTAAAAACAAGTGCAATATATTTTTCATCAAATTTTTTGTGATTTTATACAATGTTTAAAAAGTTATCTAATTTTATTATTTCTTAATAAAAATTTTATGGAAAATTTTTTTAGCATCATAATATTGAAATAGACTACAATTTTTCCATGTAAACTTTTTTTAGGATTTAGAGATTTTAAACACAATTACTTAAAACATCAACTTGGATAAGACAAGACTCCAAACGTCACAATTAGTTTATGGTTTAAAACACAGTTTTATTTTTATTAAATACAAAAACAATAACTTTCCTCACTCATATGCTCTGAAATTTACTTTTTCTACTCAAGAGAATTAGATCTTGCTAAGGGTGTTTGTGTGCTGGATTACCCACGGATTTTGTTACCTAACTTGAAAAAATAGGCTTAAAACTCGATAAGTTTGATAGTTAGTATGTCCAAGCTCAAATCCAATATTCTTAAAAAGAGGATTTGAGTTTACGCCCAAACTCATTACCCGGTCTATCAAGCTCACCTGCCAAGCCCAACCCTCCCATATAGCCCGCTTACTCTTCATTTGAAAAAAGTTATACCTTCGGCATGATGATAGTAGGATAGTCAATTTAATCTCGCGTGTGGGCAGATAGAAAGAAATGCCTATAGATGAGGTAGGCGAGGATAGCTTGCCAGCAAAGGGCATGTTTTGTTTGATAAAAACGGGAAAGGCTTTGACTACAACGTTTTTTAGCCAAGCCCAACCCTCCCACATAGCCTGCCCACTATTCCTTTGAAAAAAGTTATATTTTTAAATCATTAAATTTGAAACTTTGAAATAAGTCTTTCAATGTTAGAATTTAAAATTTTAAAAATTTAGATACTATAAATAATATATTATTTTATTTTACATGTATTAAGCATACAAGTTTTAAATGGTAGAGTAATGCAAATAATAGATAAGTGAGTAGGTGTCAACTAGTTGAGATGTATTCATTCTATTAAATGTAGTTCATCCCCTAATTAAAACTAAAATTATTAATTAATTTATTTTTATTCATTTTGATTTTATTTTTGATTCAAAAATATAATTTACACAAATATTAAGTTAAAAAAATATTCATTATTTTTAAATGAAGTTATATATAAAAACAAAATCCGTGAGCAGGCCCGTCCAATAGGCTCGCAGGTTGGGCTGCGGGTAATCTACCCCTACCCGAAGCCCAGTCTGGCCCACCCGATAATTCACTTGGGTAAGGGTTTGATCCTAAATTACCCAGACCTGGTCCGAAAAAAATTTTACAGGTCTAACCCGGCCTGGTTTGGTCCATGGACACTCCTAGATCTTGCTTTTAATTTCTTCCCATAAGTAGTTACAAAAACATAATTAGCATTAAGGGTGCAATTTGGTAGGCCAATCCGAACCCAACTTGAAAAAAATGGTATTAGGATTAAGGTTTTTAGGGTTAGGGTTAAAAAGCCTTAACCCAAATTAAATTCGAGCAAGACTCGGGTTAAGAGTTCGAGTTCACGGGTTAACCTGAACCCAACTCAATTAATGAAATTGGACTCAACCGAATTCAATCTGAATTCATGTATTATATTTATATAAATATAAATATATATAGTATTTGTTAAACCCTAATTGTGTAAACTTGATTTTAACCCGAATTTGTTCGAAATCAGCTCGAACAATATTCTCGGGTTGATGTTGGGTTAGAGTTAAAATTAGGGTTAAAAATTTTATATCTACGGTTGATCCTTCAACCCGTCCCAGTTACACCCTTAATTAGCATGTTGTAGGACATGAGGCCCTTTTTTTAGGTTAAATTATAATTTTTTGGTCAAGTTACAACAAAATGACATAAAATTACAACAATAAAGTTAAGATAAATCTTAAAAAAAACAATCCCGTTTTGTCCCAACATTACCAAATTGAGTAATGATAGATGAACTTAAAAATTAGACTTGATAATCTCAACCATTGAATAGATAGTGGATCCTAATAAATGCTGAGACCCACAATAAAATCAATAGTTATAATTATCAAGTTTAATTTGTAAGTTTACTTTTTAAATTCATATAACATTGTTGCACTAAATTATAACCTCACTCTTGTTTTGCGGTTATTTCGGAAATGATAGAGAAAAATAATTGTTTGCCACCGCAATTTTACCACTAGATCAATTTCATCAACACATAAGGAATGACATGGACTTGAAGGAAGGCATGTTTGCTTTTGAATTGGAAATGCCTTTTCCATGGATTTGGACAAGGAACAAAACAAAAGGTTTCGTGTGTTACAATTAGTTCTATCAATCAATTGAATTTATACTGATTCCAAAGCGAGTTTATTTTAAAGAATTCGATCCGAATTTGATTGTAGTACCTAACATATATTTTGTTTATTGTGCATCTTCAAACCTTTTAAAAATTAGATGTACAATCCGAATACTTGATCTTATCTGATTAACTTAATTAGGGTTAATTTTAGAAAATCATACTTGAATTTAGATGATGCTATTATTGAGTAGATATTGAAAAATCTAAATTTATAAAAGTATGATATAACGGAGTAGTTAGAACTACGATGAATTTTGTTTGCACATCCAGTAGATCCATTCAAGTAAAACATTGCACTTTAAAAAGACTTTTAAAATTTTAATTTATACCTTAAAAGATTAAAATTTTGTACATCAACCTCAATCGGACAAACTTGAAATCTCAATAAGAGTGCCCACACCTCTGGCACAGGTAAAAAAGGCACAAATCTTTTAAGATTTCAAATGGAAATCATAAGAATACATGTATTCAAGCATCATATCTTTACTCAAGTCAGCTTCACGACACTCCAAGCTAAGCATATTGGAGTAGAGGGAAATCATTTTCAAGGATGTGAGCCGTAGATATAGTGATCCTGACATCTATACCAAAAGAAAAGAGAATACATATATATTATTATAAAAAAATAATTATCTCAACCTGGTCGAAGATAAGGAAGGTAGAAAGCTAAAACAACCACCGATAATTCTTTTCCCCTACATTAATTTCATCTTACTTTGAGAGTTTGGTTAATCAATTGATACAAATTAAATGAAAATGGATAAAGAGAGAAATTTGTGGAAGAAAACAAAAAGCACTGATTGTAGGTTTTAAAAGTGAGTATGTGGAAAAAATTGATATTATAATTATTCATTATATTATTAAAATCCTAGTAACCCAACAATCAAGATTGTTAATCCAAAACTTAAATAGTAGCTAATAACAAAATTATTATGATATAATAATGTTATCAATTACAGAAAGATAGGATAGGCATTACTTAATTTGTTAAGATTATTTTAATTTAATAAATATTTTTCACTTTTATTGACATTTAGAATTAGTATAGATTGTAGGCTAAAACATGAACATGCAATTTTATAGCACCTAGTTTGTTGTGAATGACCCTTCACAATTGACACGTGACAAATCTCTAATGCATGTTGAGTAACTTTATAGTATCCATGAACAAAATTTTGCATTGTATTAAAAATGAAAGTACAATTGTTTAAGATACCTTCGTGATGAATCATGAAATCTTATAATCAATTATAAATATTTCTGATTAGTTGTAACTTCAATTTTAAAAAATATAATTTGACCTCTAAAAATAATAATTTTATCTTCAAAAATTTTAATCGTCGTTACTTTTTTAGTTGTAATTTTAACCTAAAAAAAAGTGTAACTTAATCTAAAAAAATTATAAATTGCAGCGCACACTAGTCTTCTTGTTGCATGTTTGATCCGTTTTTACCTTACTACATGATATGTAAGTTTGCACCAACTATTCCCT